AGCAAAACAGTCCTGTAGCATAGCATCCGCGTCATCTGACCACTTCCGTATTGAGTGAGTCACTGGTACTTCCTGCTTTAGTTTAGCTTGTAAGCAGGAATCAGGAGGATATAATTATGGTCAGATTTTCCAAATGGAGGGGGAGGGAGAGCTTTGTATGCGTCTCTGTGTGTGGAGTAAAGGTGGTCTAGAGTTTTTTTTACTCTGGTTGCACATGTGACATGCTGGTAGAAATTAGGTAAAACTGATTTAAGTTTGTCTGCCTTAAAGTCCACGGCCACTAGGAACGCTGCTTCTGGGTGAGCATTTTCTTGTTTGCTTATGGCCTTATACAGCTCGTTGAGTGCGGTCTTAGTGTCAGCATCGGTTTGTGGTGGTAAATAGACGGCTACGAATAATATAGATGAGAACTCTCTTGGTAGATAGTGTGGTCTACAGCTTATCATGAGGTACTCTACCTCAGGCGAACAATACCTCGAGACTTCTTTAATATTGGATATCACGCACCAGCTGTTATTGACCAGACGTAGCTGCTCTGTCCTGTCGATGCACAGAAAATCATCAAGTTTGTTTTCCAGTGATTGCACGTTGGCCAATAGAACCAATGGTAATGGCGATTTGCTCACTCGCCTACAAATCCTAACCTTCTCCTTCTGTATCTATGCCTTTTCTTCATGCAAATGACGGGGATTTGGGCCTGGTTTCTTGAGAGCAGTTTATCCTTCGCATCAGACTCATTAAAGAAATAATATTTGTCCAGTTCGAGGTGAGTAATTGCTGTTCTGATGTCCAGAAGCTCTTTTCGGTCATAAGAGACGGTAGCAGCAACTTTATGTACAAAATAAGTTACAAACAATGCAAAACAACAAACAAAATAGCACAGTTGGTTAGGAGCCCGTAACTTAATTGCAGTTGTAACTGTTTCCACTAGTGAATGATAGCTTTCCAGTTAATGTTACTTTATAGCCTTTTAGTTATTTACACAGCATTTTATGTCATATAGCTAAATAGCTAGCTACGTTTATTAAGAGAGCTTTTCAATTGGCATCTCTCCCACTGTTTTCAGTCACAGGTGGGGACTGGATTAGGTGTGAGCAGTGCAGGAGGTAGGCTCATGAGTTGTGCTCCAGTTTGACTGAGGATAGCTTTATTTGTGACCTATGTACAGATTAGAATGGTGCAATAGCAGAGCATAAGAGAGTTGCCACATCAATGTTACACTGAGTTAATTAGTTAAGTTATTGTTATTAAATGTTATATTCAAGTGTTATTTAATGTTATTAGTTATAATCCATTCCAATATTATATTCCAATGAATATCTTTTTAAATGAATTAAAAACAACTATTGAAAACCTTTTGCTCCTGAATGTCATTTTAAAGATTGCTGGGATTTAAAATCTGGCATTATTCAAATAATATTTAGTGCAATTGTACACAATGGATTGAATGGAAAAGGTACAACAAAGAAAGAGCAAAGAAAATGAATGTGCAGGTGAGTACAAAAGAGGGACTTTAAATCAAATCTCCTCATAGTGCGGATATTAATGGTGACATGTGCAACACCATTTCCCCCCCATATTTTATTTAAATAATTAAAACAAGACAACTAGTCTTAGCTTTTAAGTATTACTTACTAAAGAATTTCTAAATAAAACTGATTAAATTATATTTTAACACACTTGTGTGAAACCCTATGCCATAATCTTCTACTGGGGTAACTGGCACCCTCTTTTCTAAAAACAACATTTCATGAAATACCTAAAAAAGTGTAAACTGTAGCCATTTATTTCCCTTTATAGTTTATTCGCCTTCATCCACATACCAATTTTTTCTCCAAACATTGCTTTTTTGTGTCAGCAATTAGACATTGTTCTTGTGGGGGCTAGTTACCCCCTGTTTTACTATTGGATTAACTGGTTGTTAAAAGAACAACATGAATTGAGAAGACATCATTATGTTGTGTTTTGGTGATTAAACCAATATACTCATTATATTTCACAGTAAAATTATATTTTGGATCAATGGTTGTGTGGTGAAAGATATCTACAAACAAAATGAATGCACAATGAAAGATGTTGAATATGAGACTGGCTGCGTTACAAGTGTTACCAGTTTGGAGTTTTGTACTAAGAGTTTTGAAAATTCACTTCATACTTGTGAAAATAGCACCAAAACGATAAATAAATAAATAAAAGGAGGAAGAGCCTATCACAAAGTGCCAACTTACTATGACCAATCGGGATCAGACAGGAATCAGCAAGTCAAAAATGTCCAAGCAAAACTTTTACTACATGCCAAAAAGAGAGAGGGAACATGAAGAGAAACATGCTGAGGTAGACAGTGTGTTGCATATGCCCTGTAAAGGGACAGAGAACAATGGGGGAGAAAGGAAGGGATTTCAGAGAGGAAAAAAGGTGTCAATGTAAATGTATTCTCAATCTTTTTCTTCTTTGTTTTCCTTGTGCAGAGCGATCAAAATTGCAGCGTGTAGGATAAGAATTCAGTTGATAAGGATCAGACAAGATTTTTCTTGAGGTACTGTAAACTCAGTCATTTTAATCATCATTTAGTAAATTGTCTTGCACAAAGTGACATAGCCACAAATTGTCATGTGTGTGTGTGTTTGTGTGGTGGCCAAGTGCTGCCGTTTGTCACTGTGACAAGTGCTGACATAAGGGTTAAAAGGGTTCATCTATAGGGCTGCTGATGGTGTACTGCCCATAGAATAGGGTCACAGTGACAGACACACACACACACACAAACACACACACACACACACACACACACACACACACAGGTTTACACATAGCCGGTCCAATTAATCCAGCCAACCACACAAGGGGTTAATTAATCAGGAGTGAGAGATTTCTCAATCATTTCTTTGTGCTGTACAGGATACCTACAGATTACACTGCTCTGTCAAATTGCTGTGTACACAAACGTGAATAAATCATAACACATATGTGATCCCTCTCCCCTCCCTCCCCTCAGTCTCATTGCCATGCAGACGACTTTCATCAGTAATGAGCAGGACACAGGAGGAGATAAAGGAAGAGGAACAGAGACATGGCCAAACATCTGCTGCCTTCATTAATATACATACATAATTCTGGTCTTTTATACGGCCGGCAAATGAAAAGAGCCGACCACTTCATTCCGCTGCTCCGCCAGAGGTTGGGGAAAGGGGAGGGCCAGGTTAGGGATGATGCTGGTGGCAGCCAGGCTGTGTAAATTAGTGGGCGTGTCCCGGGGCTTGATCAGTACAGTATGTAGAGTATTCATCAACAGGAAGCTCCTCCCTCACACACACCCTGGATGCTTTTAATTGCTCCTGGTGATATAACTTTAGGAGGGGTTATAGGCTGGGTCATAGAGAGGCGTCTTTTGCTTTGCCAGGGGTCCTTAATTAGTTTAGTTTGTTTCTTTGTGTGTGTGTTAGAGGAGGCTGGTGGGAGGAGCTATTGGAGGACAGGCTCATTGTAATGGCTGAAATTGAATAAATGGAACGGAGTCAAACATGTGGTTTCCATATGTTTGATGTGTTTGATGCCGTTCCATCCATTACAATGAGCCTGTCCTCCTATAGCTCCTCCTACTAGCCTCCTCTGGTGTGTGTGTGTGTGTTTGTGTGTGTGTGTGTGTGTGTGTGTGTGTGTGTGTGTGTGTGTGTGTGTGTGTGTGTGTGTGTCAGGCTGTCAGGCTGTCGGGATCAATTGAGCTTTTGGTACAGCTGTACAACTGTTGGGGGTGTGTTAGATGTGTAAATGTTGACTACAATTGGGAAGGAAATTGCCCACAGACACCAGAAACAAGTTAATTGGTCCTGACCTATGGGGACATATTTATTATGAGAGGGGAGGATCAAAGGACAAAGCACCGCCCTAACAATAGAGACCACGCCCGCAGTAGCACAGCAGAGGTGACCTATTGCATTATCTCTGACAGTAGTGTCCCATATGAAGGACTGGAAGACAGTGCAAATACTGTAGCACTGAATGGAGTTTGCCTGGCAGGACACAGAGGTTTGGGCAGGTAAGCATTTTTCATCATGAATCTTGTTCTGGAAGCAGCTCTGCAGAGTGGTCGCTAGCACAGCCACAGTCATAAAATCAGATTTTAAACCTAACTCTAACCTTAAACCACACTGCTAACCCTAATTCCTAATTATAACCCAAAATTATGCCAAAAAGTGAATTTTTCTTTTCATTACATTTTTTCATATCTCCAATTGTTACTTTGCAGCTGGCTCATCTAGCGGAAATCGCTCAGTTCTGCCCCCAGGGCTAGATTCATGACAATAAACATCAACTTGTGTGGTTTACAGGTTTTATACCTACCTTTTAGGGTTTACCCGGACAAGTCAAATAGCTAGGAAAAACTAATGGAAAACTCCTGGCCCTTGATGGAAGAGACAAAGGTTTCTGTGGACCTTATTAAAAACAATAACACTTATATCCAAAAATAAAAGTATACATTTGAGTTATGGTGCTAATCCAGCTGGCAAAATCGAAACGATCAAATGAAAGTGAATGAATAGGGAAAAAATAAAAAACAAAGACCTTGAATTTTCATCAGTACACAGCAGGTTTGGGGTCAATTAAAATTCCAGTCAATTCAGAAAGTAAACCAAATTCCAATTCCACATTTTCCTAATTGAAAAGCATTGAGAATAATTTGAATTTGTATTTCATTGTACTTCCTGAATTGACTGGAATTGAAATGGAATTGAGCCCAACCCTGGTGCACAGGCTGGTACTGGTGTCAATGTTATCACCAGCCACCTCTACTCAGAGCCGAGTGCAAATTAGGTTTGAGGGGAGGGAACTGTTGCATTGTTTTACTAATAGGGAGGAAAGGAAGGGTGTTTGTTGAGAGTTAATTTAATAGATTGCTTTGAAAAGTAAGTATGTGTGTGTCAACGTGGTGGTTGTGGGGGCATTTAATATCTCTATAAGAGTGAGAGGAGTCGAGTCTTGCTCCAAGACACTCTTGCAGCGCCATGCTTTGTGACGGACCATTGTCAGAAGAGAACCTACTGAATCCAGCTCAGACAGAATTTTTCTCACTGGGGACGGTTGATGTTCTGTCAGAATACACCCTGATGTTACAGGAGAAAACCATGGAGGAACACAGAAATGCCAGCAAATGTGTCTGATACTATAACATCATAATTTACATCACCATAACATATTCTCTGAAAGTGTTCCTTTTCATATTTACAATGAACTCAGTGTGTGTATATGACCTCTGATCAGTATAACAAATTAAGCATTTTCTTTATTCTTTACTAAATGATTATACGCAATTTTTTGCTGGATCAAACTTGTAAACGTAATAGCTATGAGATTATGCTAAGACTAAAACATTTGTTTTTATTGAGAAAAAAATTAAAATATCCAAATGATATGTCAAACTTGATAATGCTCCTTCCTTGATTACTGTTAATAGAGAGATTATAAAGTTCCATATCATGAACAAACTGTTACAAAAACAAACTTCACACCTTGGTCTTGAGGCCTTTTCAGAGGTGGTGTCACACAAAGGTCATTTTCAGTCTAGTATGTTTAACACAAGTAATTCCAGTAGGACCAGGGTGCAGTGAGAAGTCGTGTCCACAGGGGGCGGCATGGCCCTGTGTTGGCTGTGGAGAGCCTATCAGAGACCCTGTGGTGCTACAAGTGTGCTCAGACCAGCAGTGGGAGAGTGTGTCAGCTGTTTCCTGAGGGATGGGAGGACCTTGTGTAGGACAGATTATGCCCGGTGAGTCTTCAGCTTTATCTATGCCGAGACAGTAGAGAATTCATAGCTAACTTGTAATGTCAACTTTGTGTTCACACCCCTTGACTTTTTCCACATTTTGTTGTGTTACAGCCTGAATTAAACATTTATTAAATTGAGATTTTTTGTCACTGGCCTACAAATAATACCCTGTAATGTCAAAGTGGAATTATGTTTTTCTAAATATTTACAAATTAATAAAAAATGAAAAGCTGAAATGTCTTGAGTCACTAAGTATTCAAGTCCTTTGTTATGGCAAGCCTAAATAAGTTCAGGAGTAAAATTGTGCTTAACAAGTCACATAATAAATTGCATGGACTGTCTGTGTGCAGTAATAGTGCTTAACATGATTTCTTAATGACGATTTCTGAATGACGACATCTCTGTACCCCACAAATACAACTATCTGTAAGGTCCCTCAGCCGTGCAGTGAATTTCAAACAGATTCAATCACAAAGACCCGGGAGGTTTTCCAATGCCTCACAATTAAGGATACCTACTGGTAGATGGGTAAAAAAAGATACAGGCGTCCTTCCTAACTCAGTTGCCAGAGAGAAAGGAAACCACTCAGGGATTTTACCATGAGGCCAATGGTGGCTTTAACACAGTTACAGAGTTTGATGGCTGTGATAGGAGAAAACTGAGGATGGATCAACAACATTGTACTGTAATTACTCCACAATACTAACCTAATTGACAGAGTGAAAAGAAGGAAGCCTGTACAGAATAAAATATATTCCAAAACATGCATCCAGTTTGCAACAAGGCACTAAAGAAATACTGCAAAGAAATGTGGCAAAGCAATTAACTTTTTGTCGTGAATACAAAGTGTTATGTTTGGGGCAAATCCAATACATTACCACTGTCCATATTCTCAAACATAGTGGTTACTGCATCATGTTATGGGTATGCTTGTAATCGTTAAGGACTAGGGAGTTTTTCAGGATAAAAAATAAACGAATGGAGCTAAGCACAGGCAAAATCCTAGAGGAAAACCTGGTTCAGTCTGCTTTACACCAGACACTGGGAAATGAATTCACCTTTCAGCAGGACAATAACCTAAAACACAAGGCCAAATCTATACTGGAGTTGCTTACCAAGAAGACAGTGAATGTTCCTGAGTGGCTGAGTTACAGTTTTGACTTAAATCTACTTGAAAATATATGGCAAGGCCTGAAAATGATTGTCTAGCAATGATCAACAACCAATTTGAGAGAGCTTGTTGCACAATCCAGGTGTGGAAAGCTCTTAGAGACTTACCCAGAAAAACTCAGAGCTGTAATCGTTGCCAAAGGTGCTTCTACAAAGTATTGATTCTGGGGTGTGAATACTTATGTAACTGAGATACAGTGGGGGAAAAAAGTATTTAGTCAGCCACCAATTGTGCAAGTTCTCCCACTTAAAAAGATGAGAGAGGCCTAAACTTTTCATAATAGGTACACGTCAACTATGACAGACAAATTGAGAAAAAAAAATCCAGAAAATCACATTGTAGGATTTTTAATGAATTTATTTGCAAATTATGGTGGAAAATAAGTATTTGGTCACCAACAAACAAGCAAGATTTCTGGCTCTCACAGACCTGTAACTTCTTCTTTAAGAGGCTCCTCTGTCCTCCACTCGTTACCTGTATTAATGGCACCTGTTTGAACTTATCAGTATAAAAGACACCTGTCCACAACCTCAAACAGTCACACTCCAAACTCCACTGGCCAAGACAAGATCTGCAAGACACCAGAAACAAAATAGTACCACAGGGGGACTAGTGAATGACTGCAAGATGGGACAAAGTAACAAACCACATTTACATACATTTTATCATTTACAGACGCTCTGATCCACGACTTACAGGTGTACATTATATATTTTTATATAAGGAATCGAACCCACAACCCTGCGTTGCAAACGCCATGCTCTATCAACTGAGCTACATGCGGCCATCCTCCCTACCCTGGACCAATTGTGCGCGCCCATGAGCTCCGTCGCGGCCGGTGCGACACAGCCTGGAAACCAGATCTCAGGGCACAGTTAAGCCTGCGATGCAGCGCTTAGACCAAACTGCGCCACGCAGGAGACTTACCATCAGTAACACACTACGCCGCCAGGGACTCAAATCCTGCCATGCAAGACGTGTCCCCCTGCTTAAGCCAGTACATGTCCAGGCCCGTCTGAAGTTTGCTAGAGTGCATTTGGATGATCCAGAAGAGGATTGGGAGAATGTCATATGGTCAGATGAAACCAAAATAGAACTTTTTGGTAAAAACTCAACTCGTCGTGTTTTGAGGACAAAGAATGCTGAGTTGCATCCAAAGGACACCATACCTACTGTGAAGCATGGGGGTGGAAACATCATGCTTTGGGGCTGTTTTTCTGCAAAGGGACCAGGACGACTGATCCGTGTAAAGGAAAGAATGAATGGGGCCATGTATCGTGAGATTTTGAGTGAAAACCTCCTTCCATCAGCAAGGGCATTGAAGATGAAACGTGGCTGGGTCTTTCAGCATGACAATGATCCCAAACACACCGCCCGGGCAACGAAGGAGTGGCTTCGTAAGAAGCATTTCAAGGTCCTGGAGTGGCCTAGCCAGTCTACAGATCTCAACCCCATAGAAAATCTTTGGAGGGAGTTGAAAGTCTGTGTTGCCCAGCGACAGCCCCAAAACATCACTGCTCTAGAGGAGATCTGCATGGAGGAATCGGCCAAAATACCAGCAACAGTGTGTGAAAACCTTGTGAAGACTTACAGAAAACGTTTGACCTGTGTCATTGCCAACAAAGGGTATATAACAAAGTATTGAGAAACTTTTGTTATTGACCAAATACTTATTTTCCACCATAATTTGCAAATAAATTCATAAAAAATCCTACAATGTGATTTTCTGGAAAGAAAAATCTCATTTTGTCTGTCATAGTTGACGTGTACCTATTATGAAAATTACAGGCCTCTCTCATCTTTTTAAGTGGGAGAACTTGCACAATTGGTGGCTGACTAAATACTTTTTCATTATCGGGCATTGTGTGTAGATGGGTGATATATTTATTAAAAATCCATTTTCAATTCAGGCTGTAACACAACAAAATGTGGAATAAGTCAAGGGGTATGAATACTTTCTGAAGGCATTGTATGTCTTTTTTAACTCTTTGAATGTGTTCGTTGAAGGTGCGTGTGTGTGTGTGTGGTGAGAGAGAACAGCTTTCATTCATCTCCATTCCAACCTTTAGTTTTGTCATTTTAAACCATATAAATGTATTTGTGCTTGTTGTTGTTATGTGTGTGTGTTAAGACTATTTGCAGAGAAGTGTGGAGGCTGCGGGGAGGCAGCACTGTCCTCTGACCTGGTCGTAAGGGCAGGGGGACAGATCTACCACCCTGAATGTCTACACTGCTCGCTCTGCGGTTCACTACTCATGCCTGGGGAAAGCTTCAAGCTGGGGCCAGGAGGACCATTCTGCCAGGCAGAGAAACACGATGCCAGAGAAAGAGAGCCACAAAGTAGAAACACTGAAAAGAAGAAAAGGTAGTGTAGTTGCATGTGCAGTTTATCTATTGATTATATTATCTAATTGACTACCATTAATGATAGTAATGATAATTAAATGATGATAATAATGGACTGCAATTACATAGCACTGTTTCAATTGTGTATATTGCATGTTGGGGGCATCTTCTAATCCCTTAATGTACTTTAGTTTGATATACTCTTGTAAGGGTCTGGAACAGGGAGAAGAGGAGGTGTTTGGGAGAGGAGGTGGGTGGACAGGGGTAGAGGTAGAGGGGTGCAGGTACGTACAGTCCTCCGCAACTCCCAGCTAAGAGCCCTGCAAACCTGCAACTCCCAGACCCAGCTGACTGGCCACCTGATTGGCCTTAGCCCGCGGGTCAACAGGGTGTGGTTCCAGAACAAACGCTGCAAGGACAAGAAGAGCCACGCCAAGAGAGGAGGCAGACCAGTGTCAGACTTGGACTTCACAGTAAGTAGTGTGTGTGTGTGTGTGTGTGTGTGTGTGTGTGTGTGTGTGTGTGTGTGTGTGTGTGTGTGTGTGTGTGTGTGTGTGTGTGTGTGTGTGTGTGTGTGTGTTTGGTGTGTGTGTGAGAGAGAGAGAGAGTTAGTATGTCTGTAACTCCAGTGATTAAATCTCTGTTCCAGGTCCTGCTGTGTGCTTCTGCCAGACCGATGGTCTTCTCTCCTGAGCCCCCTGACTTCGCCCTCCAGATCTACACCTATAAGTCATCGTGGCAACCACTTGACGGCCAACTCAAACCCTTTACTAAACATGAAGTCCAGTCTCTCACAGAGACATCACAGGTACATGATAGTTGTGACCATATTAGGTGATTTTAGCATTTATACTGAACCAACATATAAATGCAACATGTAAAGTGTTGGTCCCATGTTTCATGAGCTGAAATAAAAGATCCCAGAAATGTTCCATATGCACAAAAAGCTTATTTCTCTCAGATGTTGTGCACACATTTGTTTTAATCCCTATTAGTGAGCATTTCTCCTTTGCCAAGATAATCCATCCACCTGACAGGTGTGGCATATCAAGAAGCTGATTAAACAGCATGGATATTACACAAGTGCACCTTGTGCTGGGGACAATTAAAGGCCACTCTAAAATGTGCGGTTTTGTCACACAACACAATGCCACAGATGTCTCAAGTTTTGAGGGAGCGTGCAATTGGCATGCTGACTGCAGGAATGTCCACCAGAGCTGTTGCCATAGAATTTAATGTTAATTTATCTACCATAAACCAAATGTATTTCAATTGACTGATTTCGTTATATGAACTGTAACTCAGTAAAATTGTTGAAATTATGCATTTTGCGTTTATATTTTTGTTCAGTATATATTATTGTGGCTTCCTTATATTGACTCTTATGGCTGGATTATCAAAGTACTTATAACTGGTGATATGATATTATTACTGGTGATATGCACCTTTGGTATTGGCTTACACTCATACTTTCTCTTTCACTTCCCCTCAGAGCACATGTTCCTCAGAAGACCTGGATTCACCACAGCAGCACAGTGATGAGTCTGTCGCCATTCTGACTATCTAGAAACTACCACTATCCCAACACCCTCACTGAACTGTTAACTATACAGAGGTATCGAGTTCTTGTGTCTACTGTATACTCTGAATGGACTTGAAGCAGCTGTCAATCATGTAATTAGTTATTTAACACATGTTATAATTATTAAAATAGTTCCCTAAACAGAAGAATGTTGTGGTGAATCATGTGTTGGAAAAGAAAAGATGACAGAATAGATTTTTCGCTAAGCCACGCCCCCTTGGTTACTGACGCAACCTCACAAAAACATTCCGGGAAGCCCAATTCCCCATTCAGACCACTGATGGAAACTCTCTGTTTTTGCCATAGCCCTCATAGTCTGGGGTAAGGGTGTAAAAATCCCTCAAAATGTGCCGTTGGCGCCCATTCAAATTAGACCCTTTATTAAACCTTGTTTATCCTCTTAAATTAGATACCATGTTGTTAGAAATGTCTGATACAACATACTTTGGTGATATCGTTATCAACCTACTGCATACCCCGTAAATATACAAATATTTGTGTGCAGGGTGTGCTATTAGCGTGCTAACACTCATTAACCTCTACAGGATTGGTGTCCCGTTTACGGGAAGGTTGAGCTAACATGCGCTAATGTGATTAGCATGACTGTTGTAAGTAACAGCAAACTTTCCAGGACATAGACATGTCTAATATGGGCAGAAAGCTTAAAGTATTGTTAATCTAACTGGACTGTCCAATTTACAGTAGCTATTACAGTGAAAAAATATCATGCTATTGTTTGAGGAGAGTGCACAACAACAAAAAACTTATCGCGGCAACTGGTTTGATACATTCACCTCTGAAGGTAAATAATGTACTTACATTCAGTAATCTTGCTCTGATTTATCATCCTAAGGGTCACAGAGATAAAACGTAGCATAGTTTTGTTTGATAAAATACATTTTTATATTCAAATGTAGGAATTGGGTTCTACAGTTTGAACCCCTGCTGTCTCTGGCTCCACACCCACCCTGCCCGGCCATCTAGATGTGTGAAAGTTAGTGTATATGCTAATGATCCATCATGTATGACATTCCTGGGAGTCTGTAAACTTACATTTTGTATTACCATATCATTTTTGTATGTTCTCTATAGTTATGTACTTGAAAATGTATCAATAGACCAATTTGGCACATTTGGTCAGACTTGATACAAAATAGTCCAGTAAATTGCGCCTAAACTGCAATATTATATTGTGGCCTTTCTCTTGCATCTTTTACCAGATCTAATGTGTTATATTCTCCTACATGAATTTTACATTTCCACAAACTTCAAAGTGTTTCCTTCCAAATGGTATCAAGAATATGCATATCCTTGCTTCAGGTCCTGAGCTACAGGCAGTTAGAGTTGGGTATACCATTTTAGGCGAAAATTGAAAAAAATAGTCAGATCCTTATGTTAATTAAGACAGACAGCATAGCTAGCCATCGCTAGCATTTACTGGTTGAAGTTTAAGTAATTATTCATTGTAATGTTGGAATTGACTGGTGACAGATAATATAATAATAATATGCCATTTACCAGACGCTTTTATCCAAAGCGAATTACAGTCATGTGTGCATACATTATTTTATGTATGGGTGGTCCCGGGGATCGAACCCACTACCCTGGCGTTACATGCGCCATGCTCTACCAATTGAGCTACAGAGGACCACATATCATTCATGACATTTGGACGGGAGCTATAATCCAGTTATAGCTCCCGTGTCGTTATTGCTTGAAATCAGGCTTGGCTGCACTTCTTTCAAAGGGGAAAGATTGCTTTTGTACCCCACTTGCGTGAATTTAGTTGAAAACATCACTTTGCCGTGTGGACCCCCATAGTCATAGAGAGTTGGGCCAATGCGGTTTCTGTCTGAACATTCTGAAAGCATCACTTTCTCCTCTATAGCCATTGCTAAGGGATAATTGATGCTTCTGCATTGTGCTGTTTATTTCTGATATTTTTCAAAACCTATGAAGATGTCCATTGAAAGCAGATATGCAATTTGTTGACACCACAACACAGTACAGACTTGGATACACATTCTCCTGAATGCTAATAAATAAAAACATCTGTTAAATTCACTGCTCTGTTTTGCTTGTTCACCAAACTGTAAAGTTTGGTGGAGGAGGAATAATGGTCTGGGGCTGTTTTTCATGGTTCGGTCTAGACCCCTTCGTTCCAGTGAAGGGTATATGTTAACGCCACAGCATACAATGGCATTCTAGATGATTCTGTGCTTCCAACTTTCTTGTTTTAGCATGACAATGCCCTCGTGCACAAAGTGAGGTCCATACAGAAATGGTTTGTCGAGATCAGTGTTGAAGAACTTGACTGGCCTGCACAGAGCCCTGACCTCAACCCCATCGAACACCTTTGGGATGAACTGGGACGCCGACTGCGAGCCAGGCATAATCGCTCAACATCAGTGCCCAACCTCACTAATGCTCTTGTGGCTGAATGGAAGCAAGTCCCGCAGGCAATGTTCCAACATCTAGTGGAAAGCCTTCCCAGAAGAGTGGAGGCTGTAGCCATGTAGTGTATATGGCTCTCTGTGGACCTACAGTGGGGAAAAAAAGTATTTAGTCAGCCACCAATTGTGCAAGTTCTCCCACTTAAAAAGATGAGAGAGGCCTGTAATGTTCATCATAGGTTCACGTCAACTATGACAGACAAAATGAGAATAAAAAAATCCAGAAAATCACATTGTAGGATTTTGTATGAATTTATTTTCAAATTATGGTGGAAAATAAGTATTTGGTCAATAACAAAAGTTTCTCAATACTTTGTTATATATCCTTTGTTGGCAATGACACAGGTCAAACGTTTTCTGTAAGTCTTCACAAGGTTTTCACACACTGTTGCTGGTATTTTGGCCCATTCCTCCATGCAGATCTCCTCTAGAGCAGTGATGTTTTGGGGCTGTCGCTGGGCAACACGGACTTTCAACTCCCTCCAAAGATTTTCTATGGGGTTGAGATCTGGAGACTGGCTAGGCCACTCCAGGACCTTGAAATGCTTCTTACGAAGCCACTCCTTCGTTGCCCGGGCGGTGTGTTTGGGATCATTTGTAAAGTGGTTATCCCACTGGCTATAGGGTGAACGCACCAATTTGTGAGTCGCTCTGGCTAAGAGCGTCTGCTAAATGACGTTAATGTGCCCTTGAGCAAGGCACTTAACCCTAATTGCTCCTGTAAGTCGCTCTGGATAAGAGCGTCTGCTAAATGACTAAAATGTAAATGTAAATGTAATCATTGTCATGCTGAAAGACCCAGCCACATTTCATCTTCAATGCCCTTGCTGATGGAAGGAGGTTTTCACTCAAAATCTCACGATACATGGCCCCATTCATTCTTTCCTTTACACGGATCAGTCGTCCTGGTCCCTTTGCAGAAAAACAGCCCCAAAGCATGATGTTTCCATCCCCATGCTTCACAGTAGGTATGGTGTTCTTTGGATGCAACTCAGCATTCTTTGTCCTCCAAACACGACGAGTTGAGTTTTTACCAAAAAGTTATATTTTGGTTTCATCTGACCACATGACATTCTCCCAATCCTCTTCTGGATCATCCAAATGCACTCTAGCAAACTTCAGACGGGCCTGGACATGTACTGGCTTAAGCAGGGGAACACGTCTTGCACTGCAGGATTTGAGTCCCTGGCGGCGTAGTGTGTTACTGATGGTAGGCTTTGTTACTTTGGTCCCAGCTCTCTGCAGGTCATTCACTAGGTCCCCCCGTGTGGTTCTGGGATTTCTGCTCACCGTTCATGTGATCATTTTGACCCCACGGGGTGAGATCTTGCGTGGAGCCCCAGATCGAGGGAGATTATCAGTGGTCTTGTATGTCTTCCATTTCCTAATAATTGCTCCCACAGTTGATTTCTTCAAACCAAGCTGCTTACCTATTGCAGATTCAGTCTTCCCAGCCTGGTGCAGGTCTACAATTTTGTTTCTGGTGTCCTTTGACAGCTCTTTGGTCTTGGCCATAGTGGAGTTTGGAGTGTGACTGTTTGAGGTTGTGGACAGGTGTCTTTTATACTGATAACAAGTTCAAACAGGTGCCATTAATACAGGTAACGAGTGGAGGACAGAGGAGCCTCTTAAAGAAGAAGTTACAGGTCTGTGATAGCCAGAAATCTTGCTTGTTTGTAGGTGACCAAATACTTATTTTCCACCATAATTTGCAAATAAATTCATTAAAAATCCTACAATGTGATTTTCTGGATATTTTCTTCTCAATTTGTCTGTCATAGTTGACGTATACCTATGATGAAAATTACAGGCCTCTCTCATCTTTTTAAGTGGGAGAACTTGCACAATTGGTGGCTGACTAAATACTTTTTTTCTCCACTGTATTGGCTTCCATGCTTTTGAAATGAGAGCTTGTCCGAGGATGTTGTACACAAGTTTGGTTAGAGATGGTTACTGTCCAATGGAGCGCTGCGATTGGTTGCCAAAAATTCTGGGGCGGGGCTTGGCGAAGGGCCAATTCTGCATGTTCTATATGGGTACATTTATCAAAAGTTACAGATCCATTAGACAAAACAAAATGTGGCGCCACTATACTATGGCCACATGCAGTGTCAGACCACATGGTTTCATCCAGACCTCCAGTCATCACATGAAGCTTTATCTTCTGGCTCACTATGGTGTGATCTGTCAACATGATTTCAACACATCCTGTTTGTATAGTCACAGTCTGGGAGTCTGCGGTTGTGAATGAATCCCACAAAGACAAATAAGCTGAACCAAGCCGTCAGATGTCATCTCTATTGGAACATATTTCTCTCCTAAAGCAAAACTGATTGATATTTTCCAAACACAGACATGGACAGGATTGTACAACAACTCTAGTGTGAAACCTATTATTGTAGCAAGCTTTGATTTATAACCTTGTTCCTTCTTCTGTTTGACTTGCATTCTGGCTTTGCAAAAAAGGCACTTTGTTTCTGCAATGCTGTGAGGGGCAAATAATGTGAATGTCGACATCACCCCACAAGGGGG